TACCGGGCTGCCAGACACCCTGATGGGACAGGCAGTGCTGTGTGCTGCTGTGACCGAGAGTGCAATGTGACATTCACAGAATCCTAAATGCACAGATTGAATAATCAGATGCTGAGGACACTAATGTTAGGAAATATACATGCTGAATGCAGCTCTGGAATGGCAGTGTGTCTGATTCGGTCACAGCCAGGCTGAAGCAGGACAAGAAGCACTGCCTCTTCTACATTCAGTGCAACACCACCTGTGGGTATGGCTGGTGTGCTTGTGCAGCTGCTGTCATCAGCACAAAACTGACCAATGGACTGGGGAGGGGGAAAAAAGTAAAGGTTTTCCACATGTGGCAAATAAAACACGAAATCACAATGCGATGTGGCTCAAAGAAAGATGGAGCATTGCTGATCCTTCACTGGAGAGGCAGGGAGACTCAGAACTCTGAAGCAGCCAGGTGCAGGCCATGCTCGGTGTGGGAAACTCTGATTTACAAAACACTGCTCAGTAACAGATCCACAACTGATTACCTTTTCTGCCTCACATACCCTTGCAAAAAAGGCAGTGTGCCTGTATGCCTTGCAGAAGAGCCCTATGCAGCACCAAACCTGGAGAGTGAGAATGCACTCTGCATCCACCCCGCAGGAATAGCTGTGGGCATACTGGCACCCTAAAAATAGCCGAGGTGTGGGTGCTGTGCTGACAGCTTTGTAGGGTTTGTGAGTAATGCTGGGGCTGCTAGGGAACTGCAAACAAACTGACCGGGCTCCAGCAGATGCCACAGGGGGCTGTGGGATGACGATAAGGTAACCCTACTCTCTTAATAAGACAAACCTAATTTCTCTGCCACTAACAGGGACAGAGACTTCCTTTACAATGAGGCAGATCTGTCCCACTGTTAAAATCAGTGGGCTAACATTCCCTTTTACAGAGGGATTTGCATGCTCTGATTTAGGAAGGAATACTGCTCACAGGCAGGTACAACTAAAAATCAGCGACAGAAAGTTGGGGCAGTCCTGAGACAAAAGCTCTGTTCTGTGCAGCATGAGGAGAAGTGCAAGCCTTTGAAATCAGATAGCAGCAAACGTCTGCCCAGGTTCACAAAAGCAGCCCAGAACGACGCCAAATGCAAATTTACCCTCTATCTGACTCCTGGATTCAGGCAGCTCCTTCTATAACTAAGGACTGTGAAAGCACACATGAATGCATCAATTACATCCATAGCTAACACTTGCCTCAGAGCCTTCAAAAAACAACCCTCCAATAATTAAAGCAAAACCACCCTCCACCACCACAACCCCCTCATCTTTGAGGGAAAGCTGCTATTTCAAGACACCTTCACAGCCCAACTTTTGCTTTGGCTGAGATTTGCAATTCGATCAGTGCTGCAACAGCTGATGAACTTCAAGGTAACTGGTGAGCTCCTACATCGACTGCATCTCCCTGCCACAGGGAACACTCCCTGCCCTGGACTGGTGCTGTGTTTGCAATGAGACATTCCTGCTTGATGCAACAGTCGGCGTCAGGGCTCACAGAGCTCCATCTCACAGGCATTACATAAGACAGTCATTACATCCCAGGGACAATGGCAAAGTCACAGTTCAATAAGCAAAACGTCTGCAAAGGAAATACCTCTAACAAGCATCTAGGGCAGCTCAGCAGCGCACAGACCGACGCACTGACATTACCTGCCACTCAGGTGTGTTAAGCTCTGCTAATCTTATATGGGGGAAGAAAAGACAACCTGTGATGTTCAGATTTCCGTGCACTGGTTACTCTTAGTACCTAAAAGCTGAAGCCGTGGATGGGGAAACATCAATTGCAACTCTCAAAATGAAAGACACCTATTAATGCCCTTCTGCAGCCTGGCCCAGGATGGTGCTCTGCCTCCATCCTGCAGCCCAGCAGATGAAGGGCTGCCCCAGGCACTGCTCCAGCAGCACTCCTGCACAGTGCCATATTCTGCAGCCACACCATTTCCCCACTCAGTGCCAAACTGTCTTGCTTCTGTGTTCCAAAATGTGCCCTTGCTTTGTATCATTGTGGCAACCATCTTATTTTTACTTACTTTCTTATTTTCTGAGGAAGTCTCTGACATGCTCACCTAAATTTAAGGCAGCGATACAAAAGCAGGCAGAGGAAACCAGAAAGACAACGCCTGGGAAAACACCCTGGTGACACACAGAGCTGGTGCCATATAAATCCTGACAGAGAGAGAAGAAACGCACTCTAGCAGCTTATTTTTCCAATGTGAGCACATGGTAGGTAACATTCTAATGCTCAGGTAATTCACAGCAATATCCACACAGGGCTGTTATCTGTTCCTTCTACAAGAGATGCCATCTTTGTAATTCCACGTGCTTGGGGTGACATCTGTTCTCATTTCTATTACTTTAATGGGTGATGGAGAAACCCATATGAGCAGATCCATAAAGCAACAACTTGCTGAGCTAAGTACAGCAATAGAAACATTTCTAGAGGAGAGCGACGTGCCAAGGCAAACAAGTTCTGCCATCGTTTCAGCACCACTAAAGGTCAGTTGGGATATAATTACGTCTAATTAGAATTCTCATGAATTGCGTCGTCTTTTCACTTGAAGGCACTTACAGCTTAAAAAAGTATGAATTTTATTTCCTGTTTTCTAAGAATCAAAGAAAGGAGGCATTCTGACCTTGGATTCAGATGTGAATCATCCTAAAAGAAAAGAAGCACGTCATTGTTAGAAGGAAAAGGAAGAGCTCTGTGCAACCACCAACACCCAGCTCTTCCCTCCTGCTTTGCTGTTCCTTTCTTCCTGTTCAGTAACGTTGTTGTTTTTTTTTTTAAAGCATTATTCCTCTTTTTTTTTCTCCTTCTCATAGTTACATAACCCTTCTGTCTCCCTTTTCGCTTTAGCACCCTATTTTAGTCCTCTCTATCTTCAGAGCTGCCCGCCTGCTGTTCTTCCACGTAAGATGTTGGTATTTCTCCCTAACGTTACTGCTAGAAACGGAAATCCAGTTTTCTGCTGAAGAATTCCTCTTCATTTCATCCCACAGACTGGAAAAGAAGGCTCTGCTGTCCGAGAGAAGCACTACCTCTTAAAAAATGTATGACCTACAAAACAAGCAGAATTTTCCCTTGCACGTCAAAAGTCTGTGTGTAACAGAACTCTTTCAGTGAATGATTTCTAACGTTTTCCTTTGAAAGTTATCAAACTTAAAACAAATTCCTGTCAAAGCTGAAGCCTCAGTTGTGCTCTCGTGCTGTGAATAGTCAGTCTCTTCACTAATAAAAATGACTGCTTTAATTATTATATGGTACTTCAAGTTCCACCTGTAATGCAGGAGATTCACCTGTCATCAGGGAATTAAGAGGCCACCTCACTTAGCACTATTTAATGTCAGGTTTTCTGCTGTAGGTGGGGCAAATCATAAATCCACAGCGCCCTTTTGTTTACCTCCCACTGCACTGTGCTCCTGCATCTGTAGGATGACGTTATCCTTCCATGCGTCATTCACACCTGTAGCCCCACAAAAACACACAGACTGAAATCCCTGACCCACTGAAGTCATCATGGCTTTTACAGTGGGCTCCCAAGGACACGAGGAGGTCACAGCACATATGGGGCAAAATGCACCCCGTGGTTACGTTCATTTGGCAGTTCAGCATCTTACTGCTATCCCTGATAAGTGTACAAAATTCAAACCATCTGTTGCTGACATAACCCCACACAAGCCATACCTAGAGCTGTGGGGCTCTGCTATTACAAGACCATGCTGTGTAGCCAGCATACTGCTTCAAGGTCATTTGGTGCAGGTTAAACTCTGCAGTCAAATTAGTTCAAATATAGTTTCACTCTCATCTAACAAGGCACAAATCCATACAGATAGAAGCAGAATATCAACCAAAACCCCACAGCTTGTTCCTTTGCTTTCCAAACCTGAAAACCATTATGTCTAGATCCGCCACTTACTTGCACACATACCAGAGTACAGTTGGAGCAGATGGTTCAAAGATAACTTTCAATCCATCTGCAGTTCAAAACAGTGGTGAACCATTCCAGCTGTTTTCCAGATCAAAAATATTATTGTCATTGTGCTATCGCTGCGTGCTGAGGGTTATGTAACAAAAATGCACATGTCCCTCTGCCTGGAATGCAATTAATTTCCTCCCTCCCCACTGAGAGTGGTAAGTAACAACTCAGACAGTCTGCATGCTTCAGTTTTAAGCATGGCCAGAGATGCAGCGATGGAATTATTCCCCGTGGTAACCCACAGCTGGTAACACGCCAGCCCTCTGCAGGTCTTAGAGACAGGGTCTATTCTGTTCAGGGAAAAAACAAATACGACTTTCCTGCTTATACATGACCTCTTACTGTCTGCAGCGTACCGTGAATGCTTTGTTTCAGCTATTTTAAACATAGATGTTTCTTTATGTTGGAATTCAAAGTATTCAAAATCAGTGTGCTAGCTAAAGTAATTGCTTCCGATCCGAAATAGGCCACTGGACTCCCTGTATACTTTGGTATGCAGAAGTGAGGCACTGTACACTATTCACTTTAACATGGTGGCATAATCATGTCTTAATGTACAAATATCCAAACATCATGCATTAGGTTAAGTGAGGAGTCCATAATGCAATTTGCTTACATATAGAGAACACCCAAAACTCCTTTGCTTAAAACAGTGCACTTAAAACAAGTTTCCTCAGTGCAATATTTTCTGTAATACGCCCTTCATCTCTGTGAGTGCAGCTAATCCAGAGATATTTACATCTGAACTATACGACATTCAGGAGAGGAACTGTCTGTCTATAAAACGTTTGTGCCGTGCTCAACATCCTTCAGTTGTTACTGTGCTATACATAAAACAAGGTGAAAGGCTGTCAATTGAAATGAAGTTTTAGCCTATTACTTAACTGCAGCAGTTTCCTTTAATGCCTTATTTCTTGGGTCAGCTTGCTCAGGATTGCTGGCTTGGTTTACAGCTTGTTTCTGCACAGAGCACCTGCAGTGCTGCTAGCAGCCTTACCTGGTTAAATAGGCCAGAGCCAGTTCAGATCCTGACAGCTTCTTGGGTTCTGCTTTCTTAGTAGAGATTCCAGCTTCCCTCATCAGCTTTTTTTCTTCTTTCTTGCGCTCCTTTTTCAATTTTCTTTCCAATTTCCTCCTTTCCTCTGGAGTAAGATCTTCCTCTTCATCTGCTGCCTGAAACAATAAACATTTAAATAAAGTGATCCTGTTTCTATAGGAAGGTGAACAAGACATTCACAAATGCAACTGAAGGGCACAGTTAATATTTTAACCCAGCAGCTTCAAGCTTCATACTTTTACCATACACCAAACTACGAAGCTTCCACACTGTTCAGCTCACATAACTGTAAATGCTGCAGTCTGCAGAAGTCAGCAGAGGCCTTTTCTGTCCTCTGTAGATGAGAGCACTGAGCTCAGCAGTACAGCAATCAGAGCAAGTACTTCCTCTGCTTGGTATTAAACATCATTTCCAAGATTTGTTGTGCTGTCTGTGCTCTCATAGCAAGGAATATGGGCAGCAGAGGCTGTTCACAGCGGAGGGAGGGTATGGAATTTTTTAGCACATACACACGTATATGGGAACAGTGCTCCCTTAAGACTGGGACTGGAAGATCACACTGTCCTGGACTGAGAAAACCTCTCTCTTCCAACCATGGGCCTGAGTTCCCTTTTGCCAGAAGGGAAGATGTGACATCTACCATCTTCCTACAGCTCTAGGAGATCCTTTGGCAATCCTGGGTAAACATGCACAATCCTGCATAAACAGATCTACAGATATAAACCTCAAAGGTTGGAACTTCTACACACTTCCAGACAAAACAGTTCTTAATTCATCTTGAAAGCCCAATCACTAAAAATTTACGCAGAACTATACTGAAAACGAAAATGTTTCACGTGCAGCAGAGGAGCATTCAGCAAATACACTGAGTTGATCAGGGTAAGATCACGCAGTGTAGAAACAAAGAGCTGCTCCACAACAAGCCGAGGCATACCCCAGTGATTCCCAGCACTGCTCATTCATCTTCCCAGGCAGCAGTCCCTCTGACTTGTTAAGTACCAACTGGAAGCATGAAAAATTCCAGCTGAATCGCTGTTACTCAACGTTCCCCTGTGATTTCCACATCTCGGTACATTTTGTTTTCCTGTCTGAACACTCTGCAGTCCAAAACCAGCAGTGTCTGTGCTTCCTCTCCTCAGTGACGCTCCAGGATAAATGTCAGATCCACCGGGCCTTCAGATCTATCAGGTGTTCTGAGATCTAGCCTTTGCAGGGCTCTGCGGCTACCTTAGACAGACCTCCAGGACAATGCAGAGAAAGCATCTCAGGAAGCAGTGACGAATTGGACACAGCCAAACCACCTCTGCTGTGCAACTTCTCAGAAACAACTGAGCAACAACGACAACAAGAAAGCCATCAAGTTTTGCAAATGAGACTCTTACTCTCAGTTTGAACGTTTCCAATATGAAGAGCAAAGGGATGGCGCTAATTCCTAGCTTACATGATCATCGTAGAATCATAGAATGGCCTGGGTTAAAAAGGACCTCAAAGATCACCTACTTTCAACCCCCCCTACTATGTGCAGGGTCACCAACCATCAGACCAGGCTGCCCAGAGCCACATCCAGCCTGATAGTTACAGAGCTCACACAGTCCCAAACAGAAGTGTGATGCCTTTGCCGTGGTTTAAGGAGCCAATGCTTCCCAAGCATGAGCACCAAGCACTCCCCAGCTGCTAAGCAGCGTTACTGCTGCTGACCTGCAAAGCAAAGGCCAGGTAAACAGGGCAGCACCTGAATGCAGTCTGATCTGGCAAAGGCACCTGCCGAGCACCACAGTTGGTTCAGTGTTAATTCCTGCATCAGCTAAGCCTACTTTGATCCACCCTTTCAACTCTGTGTTTTCAAAGACCAAATAAGGATGCGAAAGTGGAGGTCAGAATAAAAGGCAGTAAAGAGGATTTGCTTTTTTGTTTGGTTTAAAATGCATTTAATTTCTTGTCATGGAAAGCCAGCATTCACCCCCCCCAAAAAAACAATGCATGTTGCATTTGCCTGGATAACAATTCATACCTCAAATAACATCTTGGAGAAGGTAGGTATGTAACTGTTCTGCAGGAAACAACAGTTTCATTGGAAAAGCCACGGTGGTACTCACTGAAATAACAGCCCCACCACAGCCCTGAGCACCGAGGGTGGTCGTGCATGAAGTGTTTGTGAAAGATGACTGCAGCAGCTGTCCGACAGACGACACACTACGCTTAATCTTCCTTTAAAAATAACCTAATGAATTTGTTTACTTTTCTGCAAGCCATGAAGCTTTCAAATAAAGTGCCCGTGGCACATCATTAGAGCTGCTCTGATAAAGAGGCCTCCGCTGCCTTGGACTTACAGTAACTGCTATCTCTGTACCTTCCCCTCCCCCACACATTCCTCACATTATCAAAAAGCTTTTTATCCCTCTCCCGACTGCTCCATTAAAAACAAAACAAGTTGCTCCCTCTCCATAAGTGGGTCCCAACATAAATACCAGGCCCTCACAACGCTTGTTTCCAGCCTAACAATTTGGGCACTGTGGGCTATCTGAAACACGAGCATTGTTCTCCCTTCGGGGCTGGAACCTTTCCAGGGCTGAACGAGTGAGGATTTACAGCTTAAGGTACCCTTCCCATAGCACATACCATCATTTGGTCCAACCAAAATGGGACTCGTGAGCTCCTGTTGGGAGTTCCCAGCACGCGTCCTGCAGTTTGCTCAGACATCTCTTGTTGCAGATGCACTCTGATCCGTGATTAGCACTGCGTACCACAGTCTGTCCTTGTCTGGTTTTTAACGTGAAAACCTCAAGTCTCAGTTGGTTCATTAAATGTATGCGTTTGG